GCATTAATTCTATACATGTAATAGACATTTTAGATATCTTAGCATTTAATAATAAAGGCTTTAATCTTATTTTGTATTTAAATAATGCATAACAAAAACATCTCTTAATTTACAAAGGAACAGTGTAATATCTACAATTTCTGATTCTGTAGAAAAGTCAACAATTCCTTTGAAATTTTTGTAATGTTCCTTCTTTAGCGTTGGTTGAATTTCTTCCACTGAAAAAGTGCAGAATTATTTTTATGTTACTCCTTCTCATGTAAGTAGAATATTTACTAGCTTCGGTAATGAAATATAAATACCTTTCCACTGATTGTTAGAATTGGTTAGGCGCGCAAAATATTCATTAGTCAAATTTTTATTATTTGTAAAAAATGAAATTTGCACATGCTCGTAATCTTTGCCATCGGGGAAGTAAATACAGAAATCTAGATAATTCTTATAAGCATGACAAGCCCGTTTAATAGCATTCCATAATAGAACTTTTTGTTCATTCCTCTGTTCGTGTTCTGAAAAACGTTTAAAGCTAGATTCAATCTTATCACAGCCTATGTCAAATAGAGTATTGTCCCATGAAATTCTGATAATACGAGAGATCTATTTCTTTTTCAAACATAAATCAAACACTTATGAAATAAGTGAAATAAAATTTTATCATAAGTAGAAAAAAAATAATTAAAATACCTTGTTGTAAATCAACAATTTCAAGAGACAAGCCATCTCTTCGTGATTTTGCATTATCCACTTTTTCTATTAATATCCCCAGCTGTTTAGTTGCGTTTGAAATTTTCTTGTCGACTATTTTTTGTTGCAACTTTGATGCATCTATCTCAGATTTTAATATTTCACTTTGTTGTTGTAACTCTATAATTCTATTTATGCTCACTGCTCTTTTCTCTTTACACTCTAAACAAGAAACAAAAGTGTTAGGAACGAAATAAATTTATGAACAAGAAATATGTTACAGATTACCAATTTTGTAAGCAATTGCATCTTTTACTTTGGCGGCAATTTTCCCATGAATACTTTTGCTATACGACAGCAAGCTTTCTAACACAGTGAAATCCCTGTTCTGAAGAATAAGCGAAATGTCACAATTAAAATCTTCTATGGCCATTTTATCACTTATTCAAGAATGCTTACACCTGAAAACTATAACGGCTTTAACAAAAGATGCTTCTTCTAGTTGTAAAGTCTCCATTCAATTGATTCAAGTTTGAACGGTCGTGATCAATGTTGCCAACACAGTAAACACGTATGATTTGCGATGGCGCTACCGTATTATATTCTCCAATAGTATGTAACGTTATTCTCCAATGTAACGTTATAGTCGTAGTTCTATATTTCATAGGTTACGTATATTTTCATCAATTCTCACGCAGCCTCACCTTCGTGCACGGGTTATCAAGCATAACCGTAACCAATCATCATCGAGCTGTAACCGGAAGGCGGGCCATACAACGAATCAGCGTCCAGCTGGGAGACAACAATTTTACTATTCGCCAAAAAGGAAGATCGGGAATGGAAGCTGGAAGGAGATCAAACACTCTACGAAAAACGTTAGACTTTATTCAAAGATCACAGAATATACATCTTAGAGCTCAGAAAATAAAGTGCTTTCATTTTTTCACGTTTTCTCAATTTTGTCCTCAATTGATCCACAAATTTAAAAATCCAAAAAAATTTATATAATAAAAATTTAAATAATATTTATTTTTATAATATAAATAATATTTAATAAAAAAATAAAAGACTACGTACTTCATAAATGTGTTATTGTCGATCTTTATTTTCCATATGTCTAGAACAGTAAATGATGTAATCTCTTAATCTCAAAATTCAATTTCGTTTAAAGGAAATTCGTATGAACTACCTCGAAGTTTGCTACATGTACCTTTGGCATTTTTATTTCGAACAATAAAGAAAATTTAACATCTAATAGAGTAATTGCTTTTCTTGGAAACAAAAAATCGAGTTTTCTTTTAAATATTAACTTTCTACGATTATATTTATCGAATGAGACACATCAATTTCTATTATTAAAAAACTAAATAACATAAAGAATAACAAAATTTAGTGCGTCTTATTCGAAAAATATAAAGTTAATTATGCATGAAAACAAACCAAAGACATTAGCAATTGGTCACCCTACAGTAGCTGGCTCCACTATATCCCATATAAAAAAAAAATAATTATACAAGTCATAACACGCAACACTGAAAAGAACAATGCAAATGCAAAGAACAATGCTTTGGGGAAAGTGTAGTTGAAGTTGCGACTCAGCTGACTATTTCGTATTCTTATTTTATTTGATCAAAATAAAATGTGACTTGTGAATACATTAGGGTTCGAAATAAATAGGTACCTTCCGTTGCGAAAAAATTATATTCAAGAAAATATATGTTCCCGTGGAACTTTTACGAAAGGAAATCTTACCTCTTGTAAACTTTTACAACGAATATCCTCGTGGTACAAATATTTTACGATCTGTGCATTAAAAGGATTAATAAAAAGGTCCCTATAAAGAAAATAAAATACCGAATTACTATATGTTAGATTTTTAAACTATATTACTCTTTTCTTTTACGACCAGAATAATTATTCAATATTGATATAATATTATTCATTAAATAATATTTGGCACTTGTTATGATGTTTAAAAACTTTATTTTATAGCAATTAACAAAATGTCTCTTCCTGTAATAAAGAAATGTTTACTTTAAATGTTATGGATTGTAGTCGAACCAAAATTTTTAGCCATAAGAATGCTTTTAATATGAGAACTTTTTTCAAAAAGTATAACATGTAATAGATTTCAATATTGTTTACGAAAAAGTTCCAGAACTTTCTAAACTAAAACTGGTCAATATAAAAATCTGTAGAAAATATAAATTGCTTCTGGATTGAATGAAAAGTAGAACTCTTAATTAACAATCAATTATTGAATTTGTAATATTAAAGATACGTCATCTGACAATCTTTGATCGATAGAGGTCGCTTGTTTTGCTTAATTATTTTCCAAATTAGAAAAATTTCATGCGTTATTTGCATTATATAACATGTCGTGTTATTCATAATTTGTAGTGACGCACATATATTGTAAGGTACATCTGCGTTATTCAAACAACTTCTCCGATATCGTATAGTAAAGCATGTACGCTTTTATTGACACAGTTGTTATCCGTAACGACTCTGGCCTGTATAAAAGACCCGATGAATCCGAATTACGGCACATAGTCTTCAAGATTTATCAAGAGCTTGTCATAGACAAAAACGATGTTCCGAATCTTGCCAATCTTCGCCATCTTGGCCGCTGCTCTGGTACGTTTTACATTATATATTATAGAATGTTTTTAACAATACAACTTTTAAATGTTCTCCCTCGCATAAATGTCTCTTGTTTTATTCTTTTCAATTATCATATTACTCGTTCTTATAAAAAATATATATGTAGTTTATTAAAAAATGTATGCGAACTTATAAGCAGTACGACTGTTTACCTTGAATGAGTATTATGGCGGCATTTGTTCCCTATTTATTTAAATACGGAATTATCTGTTTGATTCGTTTTAATGTGTTGTTGTAATATTCAATATCTACGCGTTTTGTAATGTTTTATTATGCAATCTTCTCATAAACAATTACATGCTGTGAATATTAAGTCATGCTTTTCCTGTTGAATATACATATATTAAATCTGGAATACTTTTTGCATTGTAATAACGACGCACTAGTTTTAATTCATTTATTGTTTACAGGCTGCACCAGTTGCTAAAAACGGAACTAGCTCCCCTGTCTCTGTAAGTATTATCTAATCATTCTTACACGCGTATATAATAAATTCTGTAAAATTTAACTAAAACTATTATTACATAGAACGTTTGCGACTAACAAAGGTTTTTATTTAAACGCAAAAATGGTTATATATATATACAGAATCGCTTACACCATATTATTTACATACAATGCACAAAACTCCGCCAACAATAGCAACTCCAGCCAAGATGTACGTAGTCGCAAACATGCAGAAAATCATCGAATCCGCCGAACATGCAAATGAAGGAGCTCAATGGCGAGTCCGCACAGATTGTGAACAATGTGACCCAAAATGGCTGCTAGATTCAACATGCTACCCAAAGACTCGCGGTTAATGCTACAGATTTGATCAGAAAAGCTCTACAGGAAATCCAGAATGAAACTGGATGGACGATGCTGTAAACTGTAAATTCGTGAATGAAGCATAGGACATCGTCCAGACCCAAATTAATCAAGCTCAGGTTGATTAAAGCAAATTAGCAGAAAAGATCAAAGGGGACATTGCTACTGCCACGAATCAAACATCCGGCGTTGTCGAGAATATCAATGAAAAATTAGTAAATCTCATCAAAAACGGCGAACAAGCTCTGGGAGAAGCTAATGCTGATTTGGCAAAATCCATAGCTCGGGTGCAGAATGATACCGCTAAGATCTTCAACTATGTTGTGCAAGGTGCACACGCAGCCTCACAGGATGCTCTGAAGAATGCTTCAGACTTAGCACAAGAGGCGAATAAGGACGCTGCTGATGTTGGCGATTCCGAATAAGGCCAGCGATGCCATAAAAAACAATATTGAAAAAATTGTCAAGAACGCTAACAAAACTTTGGGTAATATGGAAAATCGCATAAAGAACGTATTGGACAATGTAAGGAACGGTACTAAGAACATCACAGAGACTGGAGTTAGCAATACATATTTTGCACAGTATATCCCAAAGGCGATACAAGATCTTTAAAATTTCAGCCATAACATTTTGAACGACATACACAACGTCGTACAATCCGCTTTAGATGACGTTGTTTCGGGGATAGCTTCTAATTTAGCTCACGTTGCCTTGGTTTTCAGCCTACCATTCATAATATCATCGCCGGTATTTCAAATAGTATTCATAATATCTTCCAGGGCGTACTCGGACTAGCTGGAAATCTCGAACACCATGTTGCCAAAGGATTGGGGGATGCGGGTCATATCGTTGGAGAGGGTGCTACGGATGTCGTGAATGGAACCGCTCATTTTGTTGGCAACGTGGCTCATGGTATCGGAAGTGAATTTAAGAATGCTGCCGGTGCTGCTACCCACCTTGTTGGCAATGGTGTCAATGGTGTCAGCGATGGTGTAAATGGTTATGTGAATGTTTCTGGCCACCTCGCTGGCAATGTGGCCAATGCTGCCATTAACCATGACAAGGAAGAAGTAGATGCTGATAGCCAACTAGTTGGTACCGTGGCCCATAGTGTTGGAAACGGTGTAAGAGGTGCTGCAAATACAGGTCGCCGTGTTGTTGATGACGTAGCCCACGGCGCCAGTCAAGGTGTAAACGATGCTGTACACGCTCGTAGCGATGGTGTCGGAAGCGTGGTCAAGACTATTGGAGATGGTGCAAAGGATGCAGTAAAAACAGGTGCTGATATCATTGGAAACATAGGCAGTGGTGTTAGCGACCTGTTTGGTTAAATATTGAATGCAAATCATGTATCCAATATCATCTGCGATGGAACAGCGACGTGAAAAACAGAAAACCGTTGAACAATAAAGTAAAACAATTTTTAATCGAGGAAAATCAGTACCACACTTCAGCATTAAATTTTTAATGAAACAAATAAACAATTGATCTGCTGAAGACTGATATAAGTTTAGTTCAAACAAAAAATTATATATTATTCTATGTTATAAGTAATTGTTATTTGCTGCATTAATAAAAAAAAAGAGTAAATAAAAACTGTGTTCAAATTGGCCCCCTCAAATTTATATCACTGAAACGTTATATTAGATTGCGACTCTGATGGGTGTATATCATTCCAGCATGATACTTCTGTCATTTCTAGACTTCCATCTTCTGTCAATGTCAGAACTTGCTTTCCTGAATTGTCTTTAAACTTCATGGACAAGTCTAGATCAGTATTCGATGCAGCTATCATTGTGGGATGCATAGGTGTTTCATTAATTTCAACTGGTTGTAAAACACGTACATATATTGACTGACCAGATGGAACGTTATCTATAAGCAATGTTTATAATGAAATATAGTATATATTTAGTCAAATATTGTTCTATAAAAAAATCTTTACCAGAAGTTAAAATGTTTTGTATTGGCAAATGTTCTGAATTTGATAATCTTATAACAGGTATGTTTTCATTATGATTTGAGATTTGTGTCTGTGAATATGCATCGATTGTCATCATTGGTAGGTTGGATTGCATAGATTTTTCTAAGATTGGAATATTTATTACCGTTTCGCTAATACCCTTCATGGATAGTTCTGTAAAATATTTGTTACCATATTTTAATAAGATGCGGGGATCTGAATCTTTCTAATTATAAAAATTAGTATTTTGGAAAACCTGAATGTTCTTTTGGATTCCTATTTTGGTCAGTTATATGTTCTTTGAAATCACAATTATGGGATTCTTGTTGATTTCCATAAAACTGCACACCGCACTTATCGCAGAATACTTTCTGTTTACTGTGCTCTCTCACGTGATGTACCATAAATGAATTATGAAGAGTGGTATATTGGCACTTATCGCATTGCAACCAAATATTACTCTTTTTATTTTTCATTCTTTCATTAACAGGGGACAGTAAGACAATGTCTCTTTTTTTGGACCGATGATTAGTTACAGGCTGACCTTTACATTTTGTGATTTGCGGTGGCTGAGAACGTTTCTGTTTTTCATTAATGTCAAGAAGTTCTCCTTCTTCCAAGGAATACTTCTGTTCCAAAAATCTTAATACTTTATCACGCAATGTAATCATCTCAACTTCGAGTCTATCAAGTGTATTGATACGATTGGCACAACTTCTACAAATAACATCGTCTTCCGATATTACTACCATATATCTGTAGTGCACGAAAAAGAGTATGAAACATATAAATGATTAATGAATGAAGGACATAGAAATGTAACATGATACCTCTCACCAACTAGCTCTCCAAGTTTCTCTATTACTCTAGATCTTGAAGTTTGTGTTCTACATGTGGCTAATTCATAATGACGTCCTTGAATTGTTGCATCACAAACAAAACATTGTAAATCATTTAATATTCTTGATTCATTACAACTATCTGCAATGCTAGAATCTATTACATTTGTACAATTGTTAGTAACATCTTCCGGACATGTGTCAGAATATTGACTAATGGACAACATTGTAGGTATATTTGTTGTTTCGTAAGTAAGATTATTATTATATCGTAAGATTATTCGTAAGATTATTTTACGACAAAATCTAAGGTTAAGGTATAAAAACTGACAACATAAAATGTAATTAATAACCATCAGCAGTCAATGCAAATAAATTATCTGTAGTCTGTACTTTAAATATCATCTATACTTTTCGTTCTTTTTCCATATTACATTATATGAAAATATAATTGACGTTTTCAAATAGCTTCGGTCTCCACATATACAAATAGCAAACAAATTTCAGTATGTAAATACTTGGTACATAATTACATGCCACCTTGCGAAAATT